GCTTCTGAACATTTTAATTAGAACAGAAAAATATGTTTATAGTAACATTTTTGTACAAAGTTATTGTAACACAAACACTGCGAGAAAATTAAAATTTTTCTCGTCGAAAGAGGGAATCTATTCACTCTTCTGAATGTGCCTTTGCTTTTTTGTTAATTCTTAATATAATTCAACTGCCTAACAAGTCATTTTCTCAATTCTTACTATATTATATATTGTTATTATTATAATTATTACATTCCTTTATTAATATTACAATAAAATGCAAACTGTCACTGAGTTCTTCGTGTACAAAACTTTTTAATAAAAGATGGGAAGACTCAACCATATGCAGGCATCTACATCCAACTTGGCTACGCTCCAATAAAAGGAAATCAAACTCTCTCATTGAGATGCCCCGTAGATATATCACTCTTGTATTAGGTTAACTTACAGGTCATTTTTTATTAAGAAAGCAAGCTAGAAGACTAAATCTCCCTTGCAATCATACCTGCCGCAGTTGTGGAGAGAACGATAAAAGTGACTCCCATCTGCTTTGTTTCTCTCCAGCAATTACGCGGCGCTGCCTTATCACTTTAAGGACTCTCTTTTTGCGAACTGCAAGATCCTTTCTTGGCGAGCTGCAAGATCCTTCTGCTTTGCCAGAGATTCTAAGTGGTTCTGACTTTGAATTTTTAATTATACGGTAACACAATGGGCCTATAAGCCTAAGTAAATCCCTTGGGATCGTCGGTATAACCTAATATCATAATAAATTCTTGATATCTGCCGTCTTTTTTTGAGTAACGACTGTATTAACCTTTGTTATCTGCTATGCACAAACATATTTTTACATGCACCTCTCTAAAGTCGACATCGACCTGTCGTCTACCTGAAGCACTTGTTATCCTTTAATCATGCGTTAATAATTGCTAGATTAATTACTTATAGTAGAAAATATTTTTTTTTGAGTTTTGAATAAAAAAATTTATATACATTTAACACTGTATAAAAAAATTTGGAATTGCTAAGATAATATCAACATTTTAATTGTTAAGCAAAGCATAAATAAATAATGAAAATGAAAAATGGAAGGAGAATACATGAATTAAATTAAATTAGACGAAGACTGCGCGCGATTATCGCTCGAGAAGTGGTCAAGTTTAAAGCTAATAAATCAATATAAATTATGGCGTTAACAAAAGCCAACCAAAAGTTAGACAAAAAAAACGTCGAGGCGCGAGCACTCACAATCAGTTCGCCAGTTGTGATATCACAGATTTTAGTGCCCACAATTCATTTGGTGATTTTATTTATAATTTAGTTTTTTCTTTTCAGCGTTGCGTATTTAAATTAGAATTAACAAATCTGCTTTTACGGTTTCGAAACCAATTGTGAACCTCTTAATAAATCTAAATCTTTTCATCGAAAGTATTTTCACCTTTGGTGATAAATTATCGAAGAAGATTTTTGTTTGTGTTCATAATCATACCGTCTTGCCTATTGAAGAAATATTTTAATTTGTTGTTTGAATGCCTTTTAATTGTGATTTAAATAAATTAAGCATTAAAAAAGAAATAAAGGTATTTTCGTCGCTTTTATTTGCATAAGTTTTATGATAAACGCACTTTTATTCAGAGTGAAAAAATGAACAAAACCGATTTTTTTTCTCAGACACTAAATCCTTAGGAGTCACTATAGTCCCAATTTCCGCAACTTGCAGTTTGGTCTGTTGGTGACGTGGCGCTGACACAAGCGCCATATAACAGCAACAACTTTATGAGCTTGTCTTCGTTTTGGTTCCAACTCTAAAATATTTTACAAAATAGCGCATAAAATCCGCAACATTGTTGGTTTAGTACCCATTTCAAGTCCTGTGGATTTATTGTGCTCGTATGAAACTACAGACTCAATGATCTTCAGTATCGAAACTTTTGTAATATTACTTACTGTACCTTTCAGGGGAGAAGAACATTTGAGAGATTAAATAGACCATAAATGCGTAAAATAACTTTAACTGCAGCAAATAAAAATGAAATACTGTGAAATTTGACCAAGAATGGTTAATGTGGCAACTTTGTTGCAGTGTCTGAAAGGCGGTTCAACTTAACTCAGTTTAGTTTGATTTGTTTCTTTGGCGTAATGGTCACTAAAATTCAATTTAATGATCGCATCTCGCTTCAAAATACAAACGAAACTTAAGCCGAGAACCCATTTCAGCACGAAATTTATGTGCAGTTGATTGATTGTCAAGCAATGCAATAACTCAAATCTGAACAAAAAGGATCGAAACCTATTCGAACCCTCTTAACTAATGCAAATACGTGTTCCTCCTATAACATCTGATTACCTACAAGATTACTGATTGTAAACGGGAAACAAACTTTTAAATTGCGTCTACAACATTTCAATGTGTAACAATGTTAGACAAAATTGATGTGAGTTTTATTACAGCTATCCGTTGAACAACACTGAGCTAATTAAGTTCCCTTCTGTAGATAGGAGTTGTCACTTTAAACTAATTGTATGTCATCTTATCAACTGAAGTCAACTGAAGAAAACTATTTTATATTTAGAAAAAATTTTTAATAAAATTATCAAAAAAATTTATAATCCATATCGAAATGAGTACTTCTCATTTAGTTAAAGAGAATAGAAAATTAAATAAACACATCTTCAAATAACATACGACTAATATGCAAAAGGTATTTATTTATTTATTTATAATAAATATGTATATTCAATAAATTGATGTATACATAATTTCCGTAGAAAAGAACACCATAAGATAGCTAATGGCACCGATTCCAAGAAAATTGGATCCACTTAGTCCGAAATTTTAAAAAACCTATTTAGGTTTATACTATCTATAAATACTACTCTAAAATAGCAGTTTTACATATGCATACTTTAATTAGCTTTAGAACACTTCATTATTAGTTAATTAGTTTGTTGGCAGACGGCATTTGGGCCATGCCTTTAGTTCAATAAGTAACAATATTTTAATGTGTAAATATTTTGTAATTTATATATTAATAACATAAATTAACGTGTAAGATTAGTTTTAGAATTCTGGATCAACTCGATTTCATAGCGCAGTCAGAACATCATAAAATGAGAGAAATTTTTGGATATAAAGGATTTCGATAAAGTATTCATCAATGGTGTTTCCACAGAAATAAAATTATTGATTTAGTCGCTGTTAGTCACCACGGCTAAAGTAACAAGTTTAATATACATTTTAATTTATTTTATATAAATTAAAAAAAAAAGATATGAAAATATAAATTATATTTTTATTTCAAAAAAATTTCCAGTAAAAAATTTTGCTACTTAAGAAACCACTTTCTTGCTTTTGTTCTCATAAAGAAATATAGCTTCATTCCGCATTCGTCGGAGTAATCTCATATCTAGTTGTATGTCATCTGTTTTTGAGCAAGTACATAAATACCTATTTCGTTAGCGAGAAGTAATTTCTCTCCATGCTGAAAGATAACTGCTTAATGGATCTACTAGAAGTGTTCTCTTTTCATTATCATTTATACAAAAGCTTATATATACATATATATACGAACTGTTCTATTTCCAGAAATATATTCACATGTTATATATCCGTATTAAAGTCTGTTGTGGCTGCAGAATGAATAGGCGTTTTAGAGTTATTCAAATGCATAAACAATTCTATTTATTATTTGTGTACACTTTTTTTTAATTTTTTCCAATATCGTTGTCCTCTGTGTCAACACTTTGAGGAAATTTATCAAATCATTCATATTTACCATAACTTTCTTTCGTTTACCGAGTCATTCAGAATAGAAACGTTACTTTAACTGTATTTATACTAAGCCTAAATCCATTTGACTTAAGCAAGCAATGTGAAAACATTTTTTAGATCGATCTATTAGCATAAAAGATTAGATATAACAATCTATTAGCTATTTAATTGAAAGTAATGAAAGTGTTGTTTAGAAACGTTAGCTACTTACCGACTTACCCTAATTGTTTTTATAATAATATATATCATTTTCCACCATTTCTTCAGTAACTTTTTGTTTGATCACAATATGGGCTGATCTTATAAATTATGTACCGGCAGTAGTAGTCTAGCAATCAATAGGAATAGGAATAGGAATAAACAGGGTAGTAGCTCCCAATGGAGCTGAGCACTGCGACCAAGATTGATATTTTGTGTTGCAACACAAAACAGAAGACATTCCGTCTTCTGGATGAAAGCCAAAATGTCGTCCGTTGAGGACCTCCTAATGTAAGAAGGGGAGAGTAGTTCTCGACTCAGTGACTCCTGGCCTACATCAAGACTGGACAGTCACAGAGAATATGACTAGAAGTTTCATCTGCTTCTAAGAAGAGTTCACAATCTATCTCTTCGGACAAACCCATTTTGTTAAGCTGATAACGCAGTCCATGGTGACCCGTTAAATATCCCACTAGCAACCTCAACTCTGTTCTGCTGTAGAAGGATACCTTACCATAACTGTAGGGATCAACCAGCTCTTTAGCCTGACGGTTACTTGGAATGTCGCGCCAGTAGCGACTTCTCTCGGCTAAAAACCATTTATGAATCAGAGACTTAGTTGTAAACCAACTTTACCCACAATATGACTCCAGTCCAAAGATATGAATTGCAGATCCTGACCTCAAGACTGTCCGCAGACTCATTACCATTGATTCCTGTGTGGCCAGGTATCCAGCAAAACATCACTTTGTTTTTGCTTGCCAACTGCTGCAGCGTGTCATAGCAATCTAATAGAAGCTTTAATGAAAACTTTCAGTAGGGTAATGCTTTGATTGCTACTAAAAATACAGATACCCATTATTAGTGTTGATACAAGCGCAGATCTCGATGCCGTGAATCTCGGCTCGGAAAACAGTGGGCTATATATCCAGCTAAACATCAACAAACAATATATAAAATTAATTTAAAAGAAATTTTCTTTTTTTAATGAAATTCAAATTATTTTATTTTAATTATTTAATTAATTTAATTAGTTAACATGTGTTGTGGTTAATATTTCTTACCAAGTAATAAATGAAAAATTTTTCTAAGTGTATTGCAATTGTAGCCTTTTCACGTGAGGTGAATGATTACCAGAATCAAATATTTATAATTAATTATTTATACAAATAAATTAAGTCTCATTTTCATTTTGAATAAAAACAATTATTGTATCTTTAACCATATCATATACTATATACTAGCATTTATAGAGCAATGTATATTTGAAACGGTTCTCGCGTTCATTGGAGCAACCGGTGTAATTTTTGAACTAGGTGAGCAACATTTTAGCTTTGGTTTACATTAGTGGTACCATTTGAAATAGTTTCGAATTACTCAACTTACAACTGCTCATAACTTAATTAAATAAAACCAAATACATTGTATAACAACGGTGTAGTCCCACTCAATGTATTATAAGTAGGCTAAGTATAATTTAATTCGCATTTGTACACATTCGCGTTGTTGGAGTGTTTATGTCAATCACAAGCGCGGTTCCAAGTCGAGTTTGAAATTGATATTTGTCATGCTTAGGTTTATCGGTCATGCTTGGTAAGCTGCAGTGGAGGTTTGACACTTAGCGATGGTAGTAATTTTTTTGGTCTGTTGTCATTTGATGCATTACACTTGTCAAGCTCATCATCAGAATCGTCGTGCACATTAATTTCTTCTTCTTCAGATGTAGAGCCGTCTGCAACTTGCGTACCAAAAGCATCACTTGAATCCAAAATAACATGGTGATTATCATCACTAGCGGCTGTCAAGGAAGCTGCTATCGAATATTGTCGAGCCAATCCAAAAGCAAATGCTGCTGCAGAGGGAGTGTTAACCAAAGAACGAAATGCACTACGTTCTCCGCCCATTGACAATGGAACTGCTGATGTGGCCGATGAGTTCATTGCAATCGCTGCCGCTAATTGTTTTTGCGGGTCAGAAGCTGTTGATACAGGAACACTTGTACCATGATCAGGTGAGCAAATAGTTTTGGGAAGTATTGCTGAATGATGTTGTTGCTGATGTTGATGCTGATGTTGATGCTGCTGTTGATGCTGCTGTTGCTGATGGTAATGATTAAGTAAAAGCGCAGCCGCTGCACTTTGCGAATGAGCTTGAGGTAGATGTAAGTTATGATGAGTTTGCACAGGTGAAATATGGTGTAAGCTATGAATATCATTGATTGCTGGGTTTTGTTGCATTGTTGGTGTAAATGCATGTCGATGATTTGTCGTCTGCTCCGTTGTTGGACAACTTGGCGGGTTACTATTAATACTCGAGGTAGGTGAACTTGCTGGAAGATTGCAATGAACTTCATTTGCAGATGGTTGCGAATGTTGACTTTGCGAAGGACTTGAATGCCTTTTTAATAAATTCATTCGTTGATGTCTACGCCACTTTGCCCTTCTATTTGAAAACCATACCTAATTTAGAAAGAATTACATTTTAAATGTAGCCTAATAGTTACCATAGCTGATATCAATTTATTTATAAAACTATATTTAAAGATTTAATTATTTCAAAGATTAGCAAATCCAAAAATAAATTTATGAAAGTTTTCTGAAATACTAGTCTTACTAGAAATACAATATTACCTGTACTCGAGCTTCACTTAGTGAAGTGCGGCTAGACAATCTCTCGCGTGTACTAACGCAAGGATAGTGACTTTTATCGAACTCTTTTTCTAGTTCCTCTAATTGTTCTGGGCTGAAAGTTGTGCGATTTCGTCTAAATTTTGGTTCGTCGTCGTCATCTAAATAATCTGAATCAATGTGATGATTTTCATCCGGAGACTCTAATGTGTCATGACTTCCTGAGCTAGGTGAAATCGCTCTATTTGAAGAATTCGTTATCCCATTAGGTACACTTGAACTTGGTGGGAGCGTAGTCAATGTTGATCCTGCTGTGGGAGGCCAAAAATGTGGAGGTGTTGTTGCGGCAGCTGCTGGATGCCAAGCAAAACCACTATAAGGGTGAGGAGGATAAAGGCCATACGCAGCAGTTCGAGCGAACTCATTGGCTACGCGCTCAGCTGCACGATTACGTAAAATACGATTTATTGAGGAAACAGAGGGCGCTGTTGCATTTGTGCACACACCTGTTAAGATTATATAAACAATTTGTGAGAACAAAATCAAAACAAAAACAATTTAACTACTTTTTAAATTTATTATACAAGTATAAACGAATTATTCAAAGTCTTTACCCGCAGCATTAACGATTCTGATTTAACTTTAATGTGCAGATTAACTAAAGACGCAAGATGCGTCTTTTGTTTTGAAAATTATCTTCACCAACGGTACGTATCTGCATTATTCCTATTATCGACTTATTATTGTTAATAGTTTCTTTGTCGGCCAATCAATTGCGGCAAAAGAAAAACACATTGATTTTTTAATCCAGAAAGCCGATCAATCAAAGATCGGTCAAACAATCAATATCAGTGGATTTAAATCTACATTCGGAATAACTAAATGCTTGAAAATGTGCGAGCACATAAGTTTAAATACGGAATAAGGTAATGGAGAGGTAATGAAGTATTGGTGTTATGAAGTTTTGAGGCAATATTGGAGCTGATCTACTTTGCTTTGTTGTGCTTACCTTCTGATATTAATCGCTCACGTATTTCCCATGCAAATATTGTAGGATTTTCTCGCTTATATTGCTCGATTTTCGAGACAACCGTCGGTGTTGCAACTTTTGGCTTAGAGCCACCAATTAGTCCAGGTGGACGTAGCGAACCTGAAATAAAGAAAATATGAAGATTTTCTTGAAATGAATATAAAACTAAAAAAAATTCAGTTTAAGTAGCAGAATGATGAAGTCATATAAAGAAATATAATGAAATCATTGAAATTTTGAACAAAAATAAAAGTTAACAATCAATTCGTCCACTCTAAAGAGCTTATTAATCTACTTAGCAACAATGAATAAAGGAACAATTAACATTATTTACACTTTATGCTGCAAACTTTGTTAATGTAGAAACGGGACAACCTCCAACTTATCGATATTAATCATTTTTTTTACTACGTTTCTTCTTCTTGCTATTTTTTTTAGTTTGTTTTCTGTGTTTGGTCTCAATTTTTGATTGAGGCTTGTTGTTGATTGTTATCGCGCACACATAATAGCTTTATCAGCAATCAGCATTTGAGCGAAAAGTGTTCGGAACATTCACGGAAGCTACAAGTAGTTATATTTTAGTTTCAGATGCATTCGCAATTATGCAGTAGGACTGTAGCACTGTAGGACTGGGCATAACATCTTTCCCATACGCCAGCAGTGCTCAAACAATGCAGCACACGTACCCATAAACGATATTATTACAACCTCTTTAAATGGGAACGATTTGATTAATGACCATACGACCTCCCTTTGTTTTATCGACGGTAGAGCAAAACACCGAACACTAAGGTTACACGCTTCTAAACAATGTCGCGATATGCCATGTAAGACTGCGAACTGATGCAATTTGATGTAGATGACGTCCAAATTACACATAACATCGCCTCTTATGTTTACGGTCATGCCGTCATAAAACCACATCGAGTATACTCCACAAATTTAGGATAATGATACGTTTTGCCAAAATCTACACAGGCACAATTGTAACGAAACGGATGCGATGTGTGATAAATAGCGACGCATATCGTATGTGATCATTAACTGTGTGATGTTTATTTTTCGATTGCAGACGAAAGGCATTATTTTATATTCTCTACTGCTACCTTGAGCTTCAATTCTGGCTCCTAGATAATTTGGATGTCAAAAACTATGTTGCAAACAGTAGAGATTTATTGAAGTGCCTTCAGCAAGGTTAATCGATTGCTTGCTTAGAAATTTATACTACTTTATTTATAACATATTGTAAAAATTACATAATTACACTCTTAGGTCAATAAATACAAATTATGGACATGGGACATATAGAAGGCTCAACCTTATAATCTAAAATAAAAAATTGTTTTAAATATTTTGTACTATATTTGCAAAAAGTATTATTGAATGACGTTGGGAATGATGTTATGTGTGCTCCTGTAAGTTTATGGAATTGATTGATTTGAAAGAAAAATTCAAAATTAAAAGAATTTCATTTTAAAAACTCGTCATTTTTTATAGCAATTTTAAAATTATTCGTTTTAAATCACTATTTGAAAATATTCTGTTTTTTAATGGTGTAAGACCCCACAACCTTATAAACCTTTTCCAATACATTATTATAAATTACTTGCACGTGAGTGTAACAAAAGCTTTGTATGTTTAATTATATATAGAATATATACTTATAGAATTTTTCCTCTTATCTTTTAACAAGGGAAGTTAAGGGAAGTTTAACTTCCCTTTTTAACAAGGGAAGTATCTGATTTGTTTTTAAAAACGAAAATTTGTATCCTCTTCCTCCCATTTATGACATATACTTATATGAAATTATTAGGTATTACTTCATAATTTCAAACTCAAAATTATGGGGGTATACACAAGCTAGAGTAATGAGTTCGGGAATAGAGTAAAAGTGCAACAGGTTACCCTAAGTCGTGAGCACACCTGATTGTGTTGATTTGAAAAGAAATTTTTCTCTTGCTAAAATCAGCTGTGTTTTAATGAATTTGTACGTTATTGTGAAAACAAAAGAGATTCTGATATAAATATTAATATTATACGGAAGTTAAGTGAAAAAAATAGTTTAAACAGGATAAGTGGTTTGATGATTAGTAGCATATGGAAAATATGATGTGTACGGATGATTACAATTAATATTTTTTAGGTAAAGGTAGTGACGAGAAAAAAATTGATGATATTTTGAACGATTTGAAAAGGAATGTGTTGGTAATTTATTCGAATCGCCGTGGTTTCAAACACATGGTATAGATAAGCAATGAATGTTGCAATAACATTTTAATCAAGTTAGACGACGGTCGGTGTTTGCAAATAATGTGTGTGAACAGAAACCAATTTGCTTATTTCTGAAGATAATTTCTGAAGATGAAAAGTTTGATAAAGCAAACCCCAGCAAACAGTTTCCAATTGAACTACTGTTAGCTATAGTTCTGTATCGCTTCGGTTCTTCAGAAGAGAGTGGGTCAATTCGGAAGATGGCAGTTACTTTTGTGGTTGGGGATGATGCAATTTTGATGAAATTTACACATAGAGTTTTCAGTGTTTTCATAAAATTGTTGCTGAAATATATCGTTCGGCCAAGCTTCTCAGACTGGGAACAAATAAAAAGTGACACGTGCAGTGTATTTAAGTTTTGTATTAGATAATTGATGGCACCAACATAAAAATTGCAGAAGCACCACAAATTAATCATGAAAAATATTTTTCAAGAAATCACATTTATTCCATTAAACTCTAAGCTGCTTCTGATTATAAATTAAGAATAAGAGATGTTGTTGTTGGTTACCCCAACTCGACTGAGGATGCAAAAGTTTTTCCGAACTCAACACTTCTAGCACAAACATATTGATTTTTTTCCAATCAATCATGGATTGCTGGTAACTCCACATATTCATAATACGATGTTGTTATAACACCTTACAAAAGCAATTCACGACAATTTACCAGTGCAAAACGAATTCAGCTCAATAAACGCCATAGTAAATATCGAGTTCCGGTGAAATATTGGTTTAGGCAATTGAAGGAAAAATTTTGTAACTTGAAAGAACTAAAAATTCGAATTAAATATAATAAAAGTCACAAATTTGGTTGTAAATAGAAACTTGTGTGGTGTATATTTAACAATATATTCTTTACTGAATTTGAAAGTCAAAGTCGTGAAGAAATACATATTTCTGCAGAGAAAGATCTGTATCTTCCTGATATGTTACTCCATAACAACGATACTAGTCCATTTGAAGATTAAAGAGAGTCAATTTACAATCTTATGTGTAACTCAGCAATATTGAAAATAAGGTAAAAATGCAACGTAAATGTTGGTCAAAGCAAAAGCTTGACGAAAGTAGTTACGTTGAAACCCATTACTCGACATGTAGTTAGTCGTTCCTGATTTGCATTTTTAATACGTTACTCAGTTACCGAGCTCTTTGCTTGAGTTCGTGAATACCCATTATATGTATCTCTAAATTCTAATTCAGATTATATTGGTCTTTTAACGACTAATCAAACTAAGCAAACAAGCCCATAATTTACAAAGTTCGATGTTACTTTGGTAAGGAGGTGCCATTTATATGCAGTTCGGAGAAATTTTAATAAAAAAATTTGGTTTTAGGACATATAATAATATATATACATTGTGACCGAAAAGCTTTCGGAAATTCTCATTTAAAATTCGCGCGCTGTATATTTTTCGATATTTTAAGTTTATGTAGTTTGGCAGCACTGTCCTTAATTACTATGCCAAAAATGAGCGCGATCTGTCGGACAGTTCGTTTACGGCAGCTGTTGAAACCAGTTCACCTCAGTAGTGCGTTGCGAAAAAAACAATGGAAAAAAATATTGAACAAAGAGTTTGCATCAAATTTTGTTTTTCGAACGAAATTTCGTGTGCAGAATCGTTGCGAATGCTACAAAAGGCTTATGGGGAATCAGTTTTATCGAAAACTCAAGTTTATGAGTGGTACAAAGCCTTTCAGGACTGTCGTACGACCGTCGAAGACATGCCGCGTTCTGGACGACCTTCGACCTCTACCACCGACGAAAACATTGAAAAGGCAAAGGAAATCGTGTTCAAAAATCCTCATGTGAGTGTTAGAGAGATAGCACGAGAGCTAGGCATCGGTCGTGAGATGGCTCGTTTGATTTTGGTGGACAATTTGTGTATGCGACGTGTCAACGCCCGGCTTGTTCCGATTCACCTCAATTTGTTCAACATTATCAACGATTTTAAGGCCAAACATTCAATAAATACCATCGAACAGCCACCGTATTCACCTGATCTTGCACCGTGTGACTTTTTCCTGTTTCCCAACCTCAAATTACCACTCAGAGGAACGCGTTTTGAATCCATAGAAGACGTAAAACAGAATTCGCAGAGGGAACTCAAAGCCATACCGGAAAGCGCCTATAAAAAATGTTTTGATGATTGGAAGAAACGTTTGCATTTGTGTATCGCTTCTAATGGAGCATATTTTGAAGGAGATAAAATAAATATTGATGAAGATTAAGAATTTTGCGTTTTATTTAAAATTTCCGGAAACCTTTCGGTAATACTTAATATACCATATTAGTAAATTAACAATTAATTAAAATTAAGCAGAAATTAGGATGACTTTCTGACATTACACAGATATCTGATGTGTTTAAACGTCAGATACATAGTGGATGCCATAAAACACAAAGATGAAAGATGAAAAGTGAGCCGTATTTAGAGGGTTACTGCTTCTATAGCTAAAACAAAAAGTATATATCAACATTATCATATAGCAATACATTCTAATTTATCGTTGTATGGTTTTCTGATGAGGCACTAATGCAACAGATTGCATAAACCGACTGCAATTTTTGGAGAAAGGATAAGTATTATTGTATAATTGACTGCAATTCGAACACAAAATACATATAAAATAAATATATTCCATTCAAAATAATTTCTATTTGAAAATGAAGCAAAACTTTTTTGGATTCAATTTTAAGAAATTAATTTTTAAAAGTTTTTAAAAGTGAAATTATTGTTTTAAACTCATGTTTGCAGAGCTGACGGATTCAAAATGAACATACTACGAAATTTTAAAGAGAATAGAGGTATATATATACCTCTACCTCTATATATATACCTCTATGTTGGAAATCTGCGATATTCAATTTAATATATTATTTTATTTGAAAAAATTATCATTGGAATACATTATTTTTAAAAATTAACGAAATTGCTTACGCCTAAACCTAGTCAGAAGCGATTATTTATTTCATATTAAATAGAAAGAAATATCATATAAAATAAGTAAAGTAGATTATTTAGATTATATATCTCTCTTATGAAACAATATACTGCTAGATTCTCTGCATCAATTATTTTGCTGACCAAAATTTGACAAAAAAAATTTGGGATTATATAAATCCTTTAGCCGGAAATTTAAAGTCTCGGATTCAATTAAAATAAGAATATAAACTTACAAAAATCTAATGGATTCAATTATTGAAACACTATCATTATAAAGTTATCAAAACAGAATTATCTGCTTTACAGGATCTGGACGATCGATTGTGTTTAGCAAACCAAAGTCGTTATAAAAGCAGTGGATCTATAATTAAGATATATACTTATGATGACATTACATTTGAAAACCAATTTGGTCTGCATAGCAAGTAACCGTAGACTAAATTCTTTAATTTTCCTATCTATGCAAATAGTTCCATTTTATTTAGCATGATTAACCTGATATTTGTAGATGATCTCTAACAAAGTGAGTTCAACAGGAAACCAGTTCTGTCTTAATATATGACATACAAAATTTTACCTGAAAAATAATATTGATAGTGGAGTCGATGATAAGAACAATTAAGTCTGTTAAACAATTCTATTATAATATGAATGAAATATATAAAATAAAATTTGAAGGTCCAAAAAAGACATATATTATATTTGAGTAATTTGAGTCACATGTTGAAGTTGATAAATAGGTATGACTTACCTAATAGCTTTGAAACAGCGCCTTGCTGACTTAACATATGTTGTGCGATGTCGTATCCTCGTAATCCACCAAATCTAGATAGCTCCAATAAACGTTGTTGCGATACTAACGCACCCAATGCTGACTGCGATGCTGCGCTACCAGCGAATATGTTGGAGCCTGGTATTGGAATGGATGAAGTTAAACCCACTGCAAATAAGCGAAATTCAATCAATTATGTGTTAAACATCAAGCATTAAAGAAATAAATTTGATGACAAAAGCAATGCCACACTGATTGCCTTAGAATGAGTTGAATTCTTTGGATATGTAAGTTAGGAAGTTAGGAATATATTATGGTTGCGATTGTTCATGAAATCGGATATTTGAATCTTTACACAAGTGACAAATTTATGCTAAACAAATTTACGTTTTAATAAACACAAAAACAATGAAAATAAGATACAATCAAATTATAAACTTTGTTCAGGTGATTTTCGGTAGATTTTCGGTGGCAGATTATGCCCATCGATGTTTGCTTACCTATTGTTTTGCCACACGAGCCTTTTTGTTATTCGTGACTCTTTAGGGTTAATTTATAGTCACATTAACTGTGATATAAAATATATAAACAAACTTGTTTATTTCGTTTATGGCATAGTCGAACATAAATATTAATATTTGCCAATTTGGCATATTCCTTCAGCAAACAATTAATTTCTTAACAATGTTTGCGTTTCGATCATGGGATTCCGGCACTTTTTTGTTTGTCTATCTGTCACCTCACACAATAATTTTCAAACTTTATTGACAGTAGAATTAACAATTTAATTAAATTGTATTTTTTCAACATCAATTTGTCTTTCAAAATATTTTCACTCAGTTATAAATCAACATTCGCCTAAAAACTCCAGTAAAATTGCCACACTTGTTTTATTTTAATCTCTTTTATTTGAAAGACCAACCACCTATCGTATTCTTCTACGCTTCCTGTTCAATTTGAGATGAGAGTTGTTTATATGTCTTGCATGTTGCAAAGAACAATTTATTAATTATTTTAAAACAGATATAAACACACCCTATATATGATATGATCTAAGTAAATATCAGAAATGCAAGACATTATTCTTTGGTTCAGAATATGAAAAAAAAATGTGGGTGAAGTAAGTTTTTGTACCCGAAAAGACTTTAATTACAAAACTCTTAATAAACCCAAAACGACTTAATCGAATATTCATGTTTTTATTATTATACATCTTATTGAGGTATAAAATTTGTGCCCTCTTCTTCGAAGTCCATATATATTTATAACGATATCACATCAAATTTTCATATTAACTGTATATGAATTTTATTTTTGATATGAATACAAATTTAATGGACCTTATTTTTGACATCATCATCCCAATTCGCTAATGCTACTACAATATGTAAAACTCATCAAATCCACCGCCCCTTAGTTTTTAAAAAATCTTCTTCTACAAATTTTGGATTCTATAACAACCGTTCTTGCAGTATCGTAAACTACACGTAACTTCTAGGAACTTAAGGGCCAGGAAAGATATTTTTTGAATCAAAACCACATCAACGAAAGCTTACTAATAATATAATAAAAAAATTGTCAAAAGAAAGATTAATTTTACGTTTTGAAAGTAATGTCATTGAAAATAAAGCACATGAACTGAGTATAATTTTTACAAGTATATTTTTCTAAATGGGTTTCACAAAATTATACAAATTTCGTGCTCATGTCCACAACATCGTTTGCCTTTAAACACTTCAAGACTAAAAAAATCTAAATATAGTGTTACATAGTCAACCTTAGTTTGAATTGTGTTTATAGTGTGTACATTTCAGGACAATAACTCTAATATCTCTTTATGTTATAGTAATCTACCGGCACTAGTTCTCCTCAAAAAGTTAAGCAATTTCATTAAAGCTACCTACAATATTGTTAGATGTCATATTGATCTCGTTTTGTGAAATTTCAACATTAACAAGTGTTCCCAAACGAACACGAGTTGTATACAGTAACAATGGGCTGTAGCAGATAACACTTAGACCCATTTGGGAAACATATTTTGAAATTATTGTGTAGATAGCATCTGGAACTATTTGACTTTTTAAACGCGCTGTATTAAATAATAAAATTGATTAAATCGTAAGTTATGTTATAAAACATATTCTGTTCTTACTAATAATCGAAGTTCCGGGTCTAAAGCTCGCTCTTCATACAAAAGTAATGTCAAACAACTTCAATAACTAGTAAATATATTTTTTATTCTTTGTTTCGATGTTAGATCTTCTTGTCTTCTTAAATGAATTTGAAAATTATGTATTTCGAACACAATCAAATCATTTATATTAGAATATTTTTGTACAGAAACTGCTTAATAAAAATCGGTTTCGATTTAGCAGAAAGTATACCTACTGTTCAGTTAGAATTTGCATCCGGCACAAAAACTACTTCTAATGTCTGATTATATTAGAAGAAGGCAGCGCAAAGTCGACTTGCAACTATCGTGTGCTACACTCTTATAATAGACCCCTAAACTAAATAAAATTTTTTTAAAATTACCATACTTAACATGTATGTTCATATTAAGTTCACAGAGAATATAATATAGACTAGACTTTCTCAACTACCGGTCTCCAAAGTACTGCCGGTCTGTAAAATATTATATTTTCACTTTTTCAAACCGGTAACATTGATGTGGGCTTCTTCAGAGGCCTACAGGGATCTGTTAATCAATCATAACCGATTGTGATCAGGACCTAATTAATCTATTTTTCATTTAGTGCAAATTAAGTTTCTTAGTGTAATTATGATTGCGAATTTTTATTAAGTACAGATGTATTAGAATATTATGCAACGGATCATATAATTTAATTTGTACTTAATATAAGAGGTGTCATTGCTGATGAAACCTCTAATCTTAATGATGAAGGGCAGAAAAGTATTATGTGTTTCGTAAAAGATTTCTGATAGCATTTTGACATACGATAATAATCAGGGAGTAAAATGAAAATTCGAATTTAGTTTCTGACTTTCCGTAGTTTCTAATACGGAATTTACGGAAATAATACGAAAAAGGTTGTACGTTTTAGTAAAAGGTTTCGTATACTTTATGGCTATGCTTTTTTTACAATTTTTCGGTGCAGTAAGTAATTTCGGTTCAAAACTGTATTGAGTACCACAGAGTATTCTAATATGGTGTGGTAGCTTGCACAAATTTATATCCGTACAGTTATAAAATATAATCTTAGAAAAAATGTATTTAGAGGTCTTAATGGGGTATATAGACAAATAGATGGTTTATATAATATTACAAAAAAAGCACATTTCTCATATAATATCAATGGATGTTTAACGATATTCTATTCATTTTTTATCTAAATCTAAATCTAAAACATCTTCCAGCTAATGTGCTTTAGTAGAAAACATCTTGTTTTAACTACATAGTTGGCATATCAAAATCTAAAATATCTTCCAGTTAATGTCCTTTAGTAGAAAACATCTTGTTTTAACTACATAGTTGGTATATCAACTTACACTGCCATGAAACAATAATGGTTCCTACTTCTATATTAAAAATAATGTACGTTACCTGAATTTTTTAGTAGTAAAAATTTTCATTTTTTAATACTCTTCTTCTTCAGTAATTTTAAAATATATATGTTATTGTATACCATATATTCTTGCAAAATAGAAAGGAGGATTTATTGAGTAGAAAATTATGGAAAAAAACTTTCTTTTCAGATAAATGTTTTATGAGATGATGAGATATTTATTACTACCTATTTTGTAGGTACAATTTTCTTTAATGGTCAGCATTAAAACAAGTAATCGTATTCCAAATTAAATAAATTATAAATTTATATATAAAATTTCTTTTCACGCATTCTTAGATTTTTAATATGAGATTAATATAATATTTAATATATTGGGTTTCAAATATATTTGCTAAATTTTATTTAAACATAGACAGGTGTCGTCCATTGTGTAGATGTTTAGTTTTGTTTAAGACCAAGAAAGGAACTACCTTTGTAAAATTCTTTATTATTTTCATATAGGAACTTACACCCCAATGAGCAGCCAAAAAATTTTTATAGAACTTATTGTGATATATAAAACAATCTAAACAAAATAAATTTGGTTGAATATTTAGTATCTTAACTCATACAAAAAATTGTCATAAAAGCAATAAGTTACGATTGTATTGAAATGGAATTATTAATGTAAACAGTATAAATTAAATTAATAATTATAGAAATTAAAGCTTCGATATAGCCAATGTTTGTTTTATTATTTTAGACTATTTTTCACAGCATAATAGCACTTTTTTTTCGCTTTTTCGTGTTGTTTTTGTAAAATTGTTCTTTTCGTCGTGTTTTCTCTTTTATTGGTTTTGCAACGTTTGCTGCTGTTCGCTAGCATTTTCACTTTTTTTAGTTTAATCTGTGCACATATGTGAGGTAGGTTGAGTATTGACTGCTTGCGTGAAGTGAGTTAACTGGTTTATTCCTTATATGTATCAAGAATTAAATTTAGTGATGCGATGTATAAAACAATTTCTTCAGTGAATGATGCTGCTATATCATTTTTATCTCATTTTACATTTAGGAAAATGCGTCTAGAACACAATTATAATAAAACTGCTATCATTGACAAAATAAATAATTTAATTCTTGATATTTAGTTTTAAATGAGTTTTGAAAATATTAAATAAAAGCAAATTGACTACATATGGATTCTAGTTGTACCGTTAATTCCCTCAATATAACAGAATTAAAAAAAACTCAGATTCATTACTAAAATATATTATATTAATATATAAATATGAAATTAAATATTGATCTAAACAGAATATTGAACTTAATAAGGAAATGAAATATTCAACTTTGGCAAAAATTAAATTTAATTTTCACAAACCGAAACATACAAATTTTTTTTTTTCATTATTTTCTTCGATATTAATTCATTTTTATATTATCTTAAGATTTCTATATCATCAACTTTTATACTTGTATAGTCATATTTATTAATTTATATTTAGTTAGAAATATCTTTATTTTAATATTTATTCTTTGTACAGAAATCCTTCGCAACCATTGACATTAGAAAAATAATTATATTTTAATATATAATATTATAAAAATAAATTTAGTCATTTTAAATTTGAGTAAAATCTAATATATATAGATTACTTTTCATTAAATTATTAATTCTTAATTTTTTATTAAAACTGCCTTTTTAATAAAATCGTTATTTAATTTTTAGTTTTTATTACACAAATTTTAAAAAATATATTCCGACGGACTAAATACACTTTCAGACTTACCGTTAGGTGGAGTTGGCAACGAAGCACCACCTGGTATTCTGGGGTCCATCTTCCAATGAACTGAGAAATTATTAGCAGCAGCTGTCAACGAACCAAATTCACGATTGATTCCCGATTCAATCAACATGACAAAGAAATATTTTTTCGCTACACAGAAGGCCACCGATTAATTTTCTAACACTTAACATACAGAAGAATCTTTGAAGAAGAGACATTAACTCATAACACAGATCATAACTTTATCTCCAAAAATATTTATTGTTTTTGTTTTTTAATCACAAGTCGATAATACATCAAATACAGCACATTTCGTTTTTAATTTTTCAACACTTTTTTTTTATTTCGGTACTGTCAAATTCAACTGAACAATGCGCCAACCTTTGTAGACAATCCAGACACGAAAGCCAGAGACAACAAACTAAAATAATGAAGTAATGGAAAAGAGCGATCACAGCACATCCGAAACTCATGCACTGCCAACAAAAATCGGTATGTATAAAAAAAGGTGGAGATAAACGCAATACCTGTTTCAAGTTGTTGGCATGATGAAATTAAAGCACTCAAAGCAATTACCAGTGGAATTTTAAACAACACTGGAAGCAAATCTTTTAATTAATTAAAGCCAAGTTGACTTTGTCAATTTCATTTCATAATCTAAGGCAAATTGTACTATAAATTAATTATTAACTATTATTTACAGTTTATTTATTATAAAAACACTCAAACAGTCAATACATTTGCACTGAATGTTGAGTGTTTTTTGAAACTTGTTTTCTTGAGTGCTTGTGTTTTTATAATGGCGGACATGACGGGGAATGAGAGAAATAGCTATATGCTCTCGCTTAAATGGGAGGAGCTTTTTCTCCATCAATTATGCCACTCTCATATATAAAGTACAATGTGTATGAGCATTCCACTTAACAATTACTGTTCGCTTCTTATTGAGCAGCTGATTAACTCTGAAGTAAATATCGGCGCCACATAAATAACATAATTACACTTTAAGAATTAATTCGCAATGGCCTTCCTGCATAATCGAAATCAAACGCAAGGGCTTTGCATATCAGCGCTACGATATATATTAGAATAATATACTATGTTGTTATAATTATTTAATACTAATATTATTATTTAGTTATTTTTCTTTTATATATATATATGTATTTTTTGTTAAATATTATTAATTAACATTTGGGTGATATATTATATGAATATGTTTGTAAAATATTGGAGGAACCTAAATACCAGAATTATTAACATTTATTTATTTTTATAAACTATAAACTGAATTTTGTGTTCCCCATTTGGGTCATCTTTCATAGTTTTGATAACAGAAGATTTGAAATTATTCCAAAATTAGATGATAATGCAACAAAAATTATTGGCATAAAAATATTCTTTATCTAGTTTCATATTAGTACAATACATTTAAAATATAGACATTGAAATTCAGAAATCATTATAGATAATTCAAGGAAATTAGGAAACATTCAAAAACCTCTGCAAAATCTTACGAAGAAAAAAATAAAAGTCAATTTTTATAAATTTTGGGTATAGTTTTTTAATGTCATTAACAAAATTCATTTTGTTTTTGTTTAATGGCGGCATTATTACTATTTTATAACTACATGTCAATTAAAAAATCCTCTGAAAGGTGAAAGGTGGATGGTGGGTGGTAATGGTGAAAAATCATCACCAATAGCACATGTAGAGCGTTTTACAATGCAATCCAATTATCAATGATATTATCAAGCGTAATTATGGAAGAACCACTTACCAGAAATATTACAGCAATTTATCAGGTTTAGTGAAAAGTAATATCAATAATACTCCTATTAATTGTTATCAGTGGATTTAACTAATCTATGCAAAATTGAGAATTATTATTGTACGTTGTTATTTGTAACTTATAGCACATACGAATAACGAGTTAGTTTAATCATCATTTGCAGAAAAGAAAACACAACTTCTAACTCATCTACCTTAACATCAGACGTACCAATTTCTGTAAATTTGCGAAACTGTTAATCTTCATGGGTATAACAACTTTATCGAAAGAGAGCACCAACATCACCTGCACCAAGCTGTTGCTGCGGTTAAGTCAATTCTGATAGTGCACATTCCATTAGCGTCTTCAATGATATATGTAAGTTTCCATTACTTTTGTTGAAATGATAACAATCTGTAATTTTCAAGATCTTATCAGGTGTTTATTTGAAGACATAAATAATTAAACTTTCGGCATTATTACATCAGCAGAGAGAGTTTGTCGTGTGAAACTATTCTGCAATATCTGTATCACATCTGACTCATATTAATATTGTTTGCCTCACTTATTCTATTGCTAATTTGTTATAATTATATTTATTGTAATTAATTGTAATGCACTACTATAATAATAAAAAATTATTGTAAATAAATAAATAGTTGTAGTAGTACACTTTACCACATTTAACTAGACATAATAATCCCAGTAATTTAGTTGGTGGGTCGTTGAATGTAAACATGTTTATGCTATAATAATTGAACTTTTTTTATTCTCCACAAGGTATATGTTTTTCTTTACAGCGTATTACATACAATGCGACTGACCGATCCCATGCGTTGCCAGGGTGTGAAGAAGGGAGTAGAGATAAGTTCCTCTTCATAAAAACTAACGATCCAAAAAAAAATGCTATCAAAAGCACTTTACTCCTTCGCCATCAATCTATCAGTTTTAGGAGGTGTCGTTGGCTCATGGGCGCTCCTTTCAGTATGAAATATTACTTAAGCATGACCTTAGGGTGAGAGTGGATAGGAGGGTGTACCAATCCTTCTGGGTGTCCTAGGGAGTAGGCAGGCATCCTATGCCTATGCCTATATATACAATTATGTTAATTGTTCCAAATACTTCCTCCTATTAAAAAATTATTGCAAAACTCGGAATAATTATGCTTTTATTTGTTAAAAAAAAACTAGAAATTCTTTTAGAATAACGTTTGAGCTATAGGAACTATACTTGGTATTGATTACAGACTTACGTTACCAGCAATTATTGAATGAAATTTAAACAAAAGTTGTTTCCCATTTTATGAACGCTTTAAACTCAAAGCTAAGCACAATTATTTATTCATTATAGGAAGTTATAGTTGGAAAATATCTGAATCGGCTCCATTCCATCGTACGATGATGAATGCAAATCACGCAAACATGATTGATGTGCAAAATTGGAACATTTTTTAATACAACACAAAAACAAATGAAAAGATACAAAATTACACAGGTGCCTACACAGAAGCTTAATCTCATCAAAATGATCAAAGAAGTCTGTCGAAATCAAATGCTTTCGTGTTAAACGAGATTGACTGACTCAATACATGAGAACTGTGATTTAAAAATTAATTTATTGCAAAAACAACTCAGTCAGGACTTTCAGAAGAAACAATAGTTTATATAGAAATATAAACAAATGAAAAAAATCTCGAAAATAATTTTCTATTTTATAAGAATATAATTACTTTGATGTTCATTTTGGGTACCATTTTAATCACTAATTTATGTACCAATATAATAAAAATTTAAAATATTTTAACATTTTTTAAATTTATTATAGCTTCGTTACTACTCCATTGTTGGATGGAGTCTCTTATCTCCTGTTACTTAGTATAAAAATTTTACTATGATTGTGAGGTTTTGAGTTCAACATAAGAAATATTTATCCAAATATGTGTATTGATATATATTGTTCATTTTCAGCTGATATTTCCATTAGAAAGTTTGACATATTTAAGATTTGTTGACGAAATAAAACGAAAGGTTGTCATTGGATAATTTATTACAGCTTTCGATGGGAATTATTAAGACAATATTACTTAGATAAATTGATAAAACGATAAAGCATTCCTTTGAAATGCTAGCATACCAAGTAAGATCGTGGAATAGTTCGCGCAAGGACGAAGATTGATAAGTCCTAATTAAAAAATAGTGTTTGAAATATCTGTGGCAACATAATTCACAAATGTGATGAATTTTCTATTATTTTTTCATTCGACAGCTTAAAAGTGTGGACACTTCATGTTAATTGTATTTGTTATCCTCAAAAGAATAACGTAAAACTCAAACCTTACACCTTATTCTTATATTAAATTACATTAAAATTAAGACACATCGTTTCAGCTATTATTAATCCTATAAATTTTGTCTAGAATACGTGCCTGAATGTCCTTTGATTATGACATAACATCATATCCGCTTAAAGGAGATATGTCTGATCACATTATGGCGGCGTACTGTGACAACATAACTAGTGCCCAACTAATGCCCACTAGTGCTGTCTTAGAAACCACTAAGAAACCAAATATAATGTGGTTTTTATTTGAAAGGCTGAATGCTTGCTGTTAGTTTAGGATTAATTATAGTACTAATGCACTGAACCCCTAAATATCTGTTGATTATCATTTAATTTCATCTCATTTTTCCTTTTACTATCCTCACATGAAATACAATAGATACTCTACTGTGAATTATACACTACTATAAACAGACTAAAATCAAAGCAGTCCATATAAATAGCACTTCACTTTATCATCTCACCTCATCAGTATAATTTAAAACCCAAGGCGATTAGTAAATATAGTAAACAATATAAAGAGGCGATCTACACATTAGAGAGTGTAAGTACTTAAAGTCATGACCTAGAGAAACTTAAAACATAACAAGAGAGGAATTTATTACTTTATCAGTCTTTTAATTTGATACAAATATAGTATCTCAACCTCAAGCTACAAAATTTGATTTTTATTTCTGCTGGTTTTGGATGTGGCATGACTTCATTATTTCGTCTTCTATCAATTAATTTGATATATTTAATCAAATTTCTTCCTGATTGTATCTTAATATACTTACTATGTATTTACGTCCACATTTTGCAGCAACCTACTCTTACTTACTCTGCAGACGATCGGTCTTTTTCCAAGTTCTTCTATTTAATGAAACCCCACTGGTAATACAATTTTGTGCTGTGCAATATCTATTTAGAATTATTAATTATTAGTTTCATAATGAAAAGTTTACGATTGTTTTAAGTAAATATTTTAATCAAAATAATCAGTTTTTTTATTGCTAAGTTTTACTGATGATCCAAATAAGGTGATATTTGAAGGGAAGGGATTCCAGTCTTAATTTCTAAAGGTTTTAAAAAATTCTTGTTTTTGCTTTCTTGAAATTTAGTTAATGAAAGAAACCTGAAATCAAACCCTCACATCAAACCCTCAAAATATTTTTATATTGGGTCATAGGTTTTCGTTATCTCCATTCGTATCTAAAATAAATCAATTTTGTTTGCTGCTTCCGATTTTTAGAACCTTCATAACGATGGTCATACGATTGTGATTTTCTTCATATAGATGAGACGAATTC